CAACTAATTTTCCCAACAGTTTTTTAATATCCATCTACAGTTTGCACTTCATTTACATTAATTTGTACAATAAGACGAGGATATCGTTATCGTTTCATTCTTCTAGACTTCTGGGCTTGACTAGTATAAACTGGTTAGCACCATTTTAGGAATGGGACGTAATTTAGTTGGGCTTGATCAATCCAAGATTAAATTATGAAAATATCACATTGATATTCGCATTATCACATAGTTGTGAAACCGTTTATACTGTTACCTACTGAAAGACTTATTTACTAACACTTACTTTTTAAACATAGAACTTCAATTGAATTTTATCATGTATTTATATGATTCGTTTCTAATGTAGAATTATGGATCCTACATAATATGTTATCAGTTATCACGGAAATACTCAACAATGTAGAGTAGCCAGTTATTTACCTATGATTTATGCATCATAGTTATCCAGGTATCAAGTACATTTTCTTCATAATTTAAGTGGTATATGTCAGTCAGGCAGTCAACAACGTAGAACTTCGTACTACGTACATCAGTTCGAGTTGCCATACCACATTAGTACAGAGATACAATCGTCGAGTCAAATCCCATAGTGGTAGATGTAGCAAGAGTATAAGCAGTAATCGGAAACAGTAGGGTTTAAAGATGTTATTTAAGGAATGTAATCTAGTGTATGTACAACCAACTAATATAATAATAGATGTGTGTCGACTTATATTTTGACAATACTGACTAATATAAATTTATTGTAAATTACAGTCAATATTTATGAAAATATGAAAATATTTAGTTTATCCATACGTATTTCACATTACTATGATAAGTACACAAAGTCCATCTGAACACACAGTTCATTTATATTTGCAAAATACATTTGGCTACTTGTTAGTAGTAACAAAGTTTTTGATAAATAAACAGAATGAAAATACCTAAGTAGTACCTAAACGTTTGTAATCATTGAGACTTCTATTCAATTGACATCATAATCGTTTGTTTACATGGTGATCTTCTCACAAGTAAATCGGTGACAAGAAAACTTCAACTACATTATCTGGTATGTCAACACATAGAAATATGGTTGATAGCAATAAGAGTGTCAAATTGTATGTTGGTGAAGTAATTGTATGATATTGCAGAATACTCTGAATTTTCTCAATCACTGCCAATCTTCTGCAGCCGGGATAAGTGGTTATGGAACAAATCAGTGCAGATAAGGTTGTTAATAGGTTTTTAGGTGGAGTTTTGTTTTCTGAGCTAGGTGGTTTAACTATGCAGCTTTCACTGTTCTTCTGAACGATATCATCGGCACAAACTTGCAGGTAGCAGTGAAATGTTCGAATTTCTTGACATATGGCTGGCAGCTTGTCCTGATGACCTCGATCTTGATTGGTTGTTGACTTTTAACCCGTCATTCTCTACTTCCTTATTTTGATTGTTTCTCCCAGTGATTTGATTCTTAGTCCTATATTCATCCATGAGTTTTCTGACGGGTTGATAGATTGGATCGATTTCAATGTGTCTATTGATTGCCGATTGACTTGAGTGCCAGACTTCTAAAAATCCCCTTGTGCTTTTAGTATTCCCTCTAAGATTTTAACATTTTACCAGTCGAATGTGTATTCACAGTTCTCCACATGCATCGATATAAGAGAGGATATGTCATGGATTTTGACTGTTAATTGATATTCATATTGGGGAAGATGAAGGGGGAACCCACTTTGTCCGATGTAGTGTTTTTCGCAGTTGGAACAATTTATTTCGCTGATGACATTCGGGTTTCCTTATTTTTTTATATCATCATTTGGTTTGCATGGGATTGATTAAAGTGATTTTGTGCTATACCTATTCCAAACAGCTTCAATAATCTTTGTAATTTCTGATGTCTTTTATATATGGTGGGATGATCCATTTGTTGGTTTCTGTACTTGATTTTGTTTCCGCTAATGCATTAGTTTGATTCTTTTTGATTAAGTTGGTTGAGTAGCCGTTCTTTTGAAAGATAGTCACTAGATATTTTTTCCGAGCTGCAAGTGTGTTTCAGTGTGTTCTCGTTCTCTTGAATAACGTTTGTACGTAGTTGTTTTTATGAGTTTTTGGGTTGTCTTTACTGTCATTGAGAATTTGATCTGTGAAGGTTAGCGTCCGAGATACTTGAGTTTCCCGTCTTCCTATGTCGGTTCTGGCGATTAGTACATCCAAAAATGATAGTTTTTGTTTGAATCCTTTTCCATTGTGAATTTTATGTCATCGAAGACGTTGCCGATTACATTGTAGGTGTTTTCCAGATCGTCTTTTTTGACGATGACGAATGTGTTGTCTACATAATGAATCCGAATTGTTGGTTTGATTACTAGTAAGGCCGAGGCTTCCAGTCTCTGAATCACTGCTTCTGCAATAAGTCCTAATATTAGTGATCCCATCGGTGTTCCTATCGTTTGTTTGTAGATTTTATGGTTGAATTGAAAGTATGTTGTTAATCATAAGTCGAGGAGTTCTAGTAAACTTCGACTTTCAAGCTTCATGTATTTTGGATGATTTGTGTCGTTATTGAGGAGCAGGGATAGTTTCGTTTGCTAAACTTGGTCCAATTAAGGTGAATAAATCTGTTATCAGGTGTCTTATACAATACGGTGGAAATTTGGCTGGTAATTCCCTTGTTGTGTTGGATATAAGTTAGAATTTTACTGTTGTAATAATTGTCCAGCTTTGTGACCAAGGTGTTCTCAGAAGATTTTAAGTCAGTGAACAATACATAGATTCTGAATACTAAGTGTAATATACAAAGACTGAGCAAGATTAAACCTCTTCGAATAGAAATTGAGTGGTTGTCTCTTGTTGTCGCATTTTTATTACGCTCTAACTTGATCTATCTATAATCAGTAATAACGAAGACCTCATTGTTTTCTTCAGTCACTAGCTATTGTTTCGCTTATTTTAATGATTGACTAAATTTTATTGACAAACGTAGTGATATGCGTATTTTCATAAACATTCATTTAGGCGTAACAGTATGCAAGAGTAATTGTTGTGTTATTGATAGAAGGTTTTCATTCTCTAAATTCTGAGTAACATAATTTTTTTAATTTTCTCTAGGTTATATGCTCTGGATGGAGAGTACTGATGGGCGGCCTATGCTCCTCCAAGAGGACTAACAGGCGTAAGTAAGTAAAGTGAAGTATGTGTTCTAACCTGCTTAGTGTAATCGTGTGGCCTTCATTAACTTCTGTTCATTATGAATAGCATCAAACTAATGAAATGAAATATCAGAATCCATTTACAAGCAAATAAGAGCTTATTCTGTCCACTTCCATTACTTAGAAAAATATGTTTCCATGGTGACATTGACAAATCTCTAACTCCACTACTATTACTCATGTTCTATTGTGTTAAATATTACCAATTTCGATCTATCACATCAAATTAATGATTAATGACAAATCTCCAAAAACACTAACCGAGTATATTGTATTGGAATCAACTTTTATAACTGTCATTTTGAATTCTTTGTAACTAGGTCAATTTTCAGGTCATGCAGTAAACAATAAACATATATTGATTTAGACCAGTTTATTAGCCAATGATAAAATTTTTAACCAAACACAAGGTCATTAAATTAACGAATCATATTATAGATGTATGCATTAGCAGTGTAACCATGCTAATGACAAATTGCTTATGGATAAGATAATGAATCTAAGCTTCATAATTTCATTGACAGATATATCGTCTTGCTTATTCCATCTAAGTGGTGAGTTTCAACATTTTATTTATTATCAGAATGGGTTTTGTGGAGATTTTTAGAAATTTCACAAGTTGAAATCATGAGTCAATTGAAGCTAGACCACCATAGAAAACCTGGAAGTACTGAACGGCCGTTTCATCATAGTATGGGACTCCCCAGCAGTGCGCATCCACGATCCCGCACCCCGCGAGATTAGAACGCAGGGCCTATCAGTCTCGCGCCAAGCGCTTAACCAACTAGACCACTGAGCCGGCCGGGAACCAACGGTGTTAATGTCTAACTACAACCAATCCACGAAGTTGTGCCACCGTACACCATTGTCTTCAGTGAGTTCCTATCTCACAACAGACCTGGTTGGACTCCACTGGTAACGACATTAACAGCGTTGGACACCGGCTCAGTCGTCTAATGGTTAAGTGCCCGCGCGCGAAGCCAGTAGGTCCTGGTTTCGGACCCCGCGAGGTGCGGGGTCGTGGATGCGCACTGTTGAGGGGTTCCATACCAGGACAAAACGGCCGTCAAGTGCTCCCAGGTTTTCCATGATGGTTTAGCTTCAATTGACTCATGATTTCAACTTGCGAAATTTTATTTATTCTTTATTTATTTTGTACAAAAGTGCTCCTGTTCATTTATTTTTTAAAGTTAACTAGTAAGTTGAATTCACGGATCCATATTAGCCAGATCACCATTGAAAAGCTGAAAGCATTGAACGGCCGTTTCGTTCTAGTATGGAACTCCTCAACAATGTACATCTACGATCTCACACGTGACATTCGATCTAGGCGCCTTCAATTTCATGCGCGGATGTTTAAAATCTAGACCACATGGCCGGCATACAACAGTGTTAGTGTCCTAACCTCAATCGATTCATAATCTTCAGAAACCCTTGATCCATTGCCTAAGACCGAAGGTTCTAGTCCTAGTCCTGCACGCGGGACCGTGGATGTGAACTGCTCAGAAGTCCCATACCAGAACGAAACGATAGTCTAATGCTTCCAGTTTTTTTAATGGTAGCCTAGCTTAGATTGACTCATGAATTCAACTATTAAAATTACTACAATCTCCACTATTCCGCACTTTGAAAACAACCATATGCTCATTAGTGAATATCATCACGATGGATTACTTGGAATTGTAGTGGGAAGCTGTGACCAGTGGAGTCAAGTCCGTGTCAGGTAGAGACTGGTATCTACCTCAAATAATGGATGAATAGTTGGGTAAGATCATGAATTGGTTGAAGTTAGACATTAATACTGTTGGATGTCGGCTCACTGTTGTAGAGCTTAAGTGTTCGCACACGAGACTGAAGATTCTGGATTCGAGTGTCGCGTGTGGGATCGTGGATGAGTATTGTTCAGGAGTCTCATATTAGAACAAAATGAGCTTCTAATGCTTCCAGCTTTTAAATGGTGGTCTAGATTGGATTGGCTGATGAATCTAACTGTTAATTATATTGTAAACTTTGCGAATCCCCTTACTTATACCTAGTAGGTGTATCCAATCATTATATCCAGTTATGTTAATGTTAACAAGTGTTGTTCAAACTGACTATAACTGACTTGAACAATAATATATTACATTAAGTTTTCGAAAAGCAGTCAGGATTCAAATCCGTGAAACCCTAGAAGTGATTGACATATAATTTAAGACAGTTTAACTATTGCTTCAAAAGAATTAGGTTTTAACTTTTGTTCAGTATTAGCCAGTAAAATTATTCACGGTTTACACAGCTTGATTTTACAAATATGCCAATTTTCTGGCAATAGTGCCCCCCGATTACCTGATACGGCTGAGAGTAGAGAGAGTCCGCTCTTCCTCTCCAAATGCTCTCACATGGACACACGTATATAGCCTCTGCCAGGGAAGTCCTACTCACTGCATTCTCGTGGCGGGGATGATGTTCGCGCAATTGACAGGACGAAAAGTGAATGTCCGGCGCTTGAACCGGGTTGGTGGACATGGAGAGTCAACCCAAGAGAGTTGGAAAACCCTGATTTCAAACCACTGGTGCATATGGGCTCCAGGATCCTGAGAAAACAAATGGCGCATGAACCAATCGTTGGCCACCATCTACCATGGGACTGCATCTCCTTACGATACTCCACTGTCTTGTGGAATAAACGTTTATGTCAAAGGCCATAGGTGTGGCCTCCTAAGAAAACCACCTGATTCGGCATGGGAACCCTGGCAGTATCACAGCCCTCACACAATTCTGAGATTTGTGTGTCGCATATGTATCTGGTGCCCTCTTGTACCAATATCTATATGTTCAAATAAAATAAAATACAACTGGCAATAGTTTGATTATTTTAAGAAGAGTTAGATATTAGCTATCAGCACGATTTATTACCAGTGTTTCATTCTGTTTAAAAAATTCATCAACCAAGTGCATCTGCACTCAATATCAACATCGGGGTAATCAGCATACGATTGATTAATTGTAGTCCATATCATGAAGGAGAAAAAATTTAAACAATCAATAGTTTAACTAGCCTTATATTCGTCGTTATACTTTACATAATTTCTTTTCTTCACTTTTATAGATTATACTACTTAATATCTAAGAAATAAAGCACTGATCTATATTTCTGTAGATCAGTATTACGCAACTATCTCAACAAGTAATCATTTGTAAATACTTCATCATTATCTCATGTTTTATTATTTTGCATTTGGAAGTAATTTATTAAAAGAACGTATACAATTATCAAATAAATCTGCTCAATATATTGGTATTGGAGTATTAGAAGATTATTTTTTATCCTTTGGCGGATTAAGTAATAATTGGTTTGGAGCTACTGCAACAATTAAACCATCACCTTCTGAATATGTTATGGGTACTGTATGGAAAATGTGTATGAATGATATGAAAACATTAGATTTACAAGAATCTGCTCCTATAATGTATCGTCCAATTGAAATACCAATTAATCTTTTCTCTGAAAAATCTTCAATTATTAATTGTAGAAGTTATATATTAAATTCATCTGAATCCGGAGATCCATCTCCATATTATTTAGATATAATAATTCGTGGAGCTATTCAATCTCAACTTCCTCAATCATATATTGATCAATTAAAGAAAATTAAACATAATGGATATTTAGGAAAATGCAATCTGTATATGAATATTCTTAACAATATACCAATATCTGAGCGTTATATGTACCATATAGCAGATCTAAATAGATTACAATTAGAATAAATATTTACTATTTTCGTACTTTTAAAAATTCTCATTATGTTAACTTTCAGTACATACAGTTCACTTCAGTTTTAAGCGAAAGTTATTTGAGAAAATAGAATGACCTCATTGTTACAAGGCTTCTTTAGTAATTAGGGTTTAAATTCTTTTATTTTAGGAATTAGCTAATATTATATGCTAAACAATGAAAACCTAATAGATAACCATTTGATCCAGAAATCATTTTGACTAATCTCTTTTTAGATATTACAGTTAAAAACTGACTCATGATTTCAACCAGTGAAATTTCTAAAAAAATCTCCACAAAAACCCATTCTGATAATAATAATCACCTGCTCACTAGTGACTGATTTAAGGAGACACTCCTGGAGTTCTAGTGAGAAGTCGTTACCAGAGGAGTCTAACCAGGTCTGTTGTGAGATAGGAACTCACTGAAGACAATGGTGTACGGTGGCACAACTTCGTGGATTGGTTGAAGTTAGACATTAACACCGTTAGATGCCGACCGTCTCAGTGGTCTAGTTGGTTAAGCGCTTGGCGCGAGACTGATAGGCCCTGCGTTCTAATCTCGCGGGGTGCGGGGTCGTAGATGCGCACTGCTGAGGAGTCCCATACTACGATGAAACGGCCGTCCAGTGCTTCCAGGTTTTCTATGGTTGTCTAGCTTCAATTGACTAATGATTTCAACCAGTGAAATGACTAACTATCAGTCGTACATGACATAAACATACTAATTGGTAATAAATAATAGTCTCAACATGCGTAATGAAGCTACTATATGATAACTGATGGGAATTTATGACTGAACACTTTCTCAGATAAAAAGCAAGTAGATTAAGAATCTTGTTCAGGGTTTTGTAATACATTATATACGCTTTAATTAATTAACGTATCTAAATGCCTGTAGGAGGGATAATTTGCAGTGAAGTGGTTTGTTTTTAGGTAACCGTTTCATTCTTTAATCAGGGATGTTCTTTACTACAGTGGTTTTATTACCAGTATCGGTTTAGTTTTTTTCGGTAGGAATATTGTAAGGTGGGTATATCAGTTTCCAAGGAGGATTAAAGCTATGAAAAATTAGCTAAATCTCTATAAAAACCATTTATGAATAAAGATGCAATATACAGGCCAGACAAGTCATTGAGAAAATAAGCTGAAAATTAAAACAATTCAGCGGGTATAACAAAGATCGTTCTATCCATATGAATTATGAATCCAGCGGTCTACATTTTTTTAACAATTAGTTGTATCTCTTTTTTTTCAAAGATAATCTTCATTGATCATTAAGTCATGTACACTTGGAAACTATATACAAAGTTTCATTTATTGAACATCGAAAGTGAAGTTATTAGTTTTGTAATTATCGATTTTTTAAGCAAAGATGGATAGTAACTAGCAGTGGAATCCAATTTGACGCGTGTTTCGTCCTATTTGAGATTCGTCAACTGGATGTACCTGCATCTCAGAGTTGATATTCACTCTGGTACATGGACCCAGTACCGTTTGCTTCAAACGACACCTCATTGTTCATGTAGCTACTGAGTACTTAGAGTGCTTGCGAATTAAGGAAATATGCACATATGTTAATAAGAGACTGATCAGTTGCAGCCCTAAACATCAATGGAAAGGTTCAAGTAAACAATACCTAGTGAATTTATCGATTTTTTTATTTTAAAATATGACACCGAAGTGCTGTTAACATTTTGTTACGCTGTGACTGATTGTCTGTTAAGTGTTTAATGAGTGGCTAAATTGTAGTGATTGAATTTTTATGAAAGAGAATGGCTGTAGATAGTAGTAGTGTTATCCAGGACGCGAATGTTTTCCTGTCTAGGATTCGTCAGCTGAATGCACCAGTATCCCAGTGTTTATGTTCACTCTGACACTCGGACACAGTATCTTTCATGTCATACGCTGGTACATAATCCGTCCATCTACTGAGTCCAAATAGTCACTGACTTGTCCAACGGGTATGATATTTATATCATTATTAGGATAAGTTTGGATTAGCCCTGTTGTTTAGACTGCTGAAATTGATTTTGGTTGGCTCATGTGCGAACTATATCGATATAGCCATTTTCATAAGTTTTTATAACAACAATGAATATCATATGTAAAATCTTGTAGGAAACGGTCATATTAATGCATTCCACACAAGATGCACGTATACCAACCAAAACTAATCAAAACTCAGTTAACAGTTGTTAACAGAGTTGTTAAAGTACTAAGTAGCCTAATAAGTAATGAAAATACTTTTTGAATATATCATGCTAACGTATATCATCATATGTTCATTGCATCTAATTGCAAATTAATTTTCATCTAGAATGCGTCTGTGTTTCAATCAGTTGCCAAGTACTCATTATGTTATTTTGTGGTATTTTCAATCACTTTCACTACAAATAAACTGTTACTTTGTTCGATAAAGCACATTAAGTTAGTTTTGACTCATCGCTATACTTGATAAAGCGGAAGTTTCAATAGTTGAAATCATGAGTCAATTGAAGCTAGACCACCATGGAAAACCTGGAAGCACTCAACGGTCGTCTCGTCCTAGAATGGGACTCCTCAGCAGTGCGCATCCACGATCCGACCCCCCACGAACTTCGAACCCAGGACCTATCAGTCCCGCGCGCGAGTGCATAACCATTAGAACCTTCTGATAATAATCATCTGCTCACTAGTGACTGATTTCAAGTGGCATTTCCTGGAGTTCTAATGAGAAGCCGTTACCAGTGGAGTCCAACCAGGTCTGTTGTGAGACAATAGTGTACGGTGGTGTAACTTCGTGGGTTGATTGAAGTTAGACACTAACACCGTTGGATGCCGGCCAGCTCAGTGGTCTATTGGTTAGGCGCTCGCGGGGAGCGGGATCGTGGATGCGCACTGCTGAGGAGTCTCACAATATGATAAAACTGCCCTTGAGTGATTCCAGATTTTCCATGATGGTCTAGCTTTAGTTGACTCATGATTTCAACCATTAAAAACTGAAGTTACGACCTATGTTTCTAATATATTGAAAGTATATTGTAACATGTGGAAACCTGCAAATTAATTTTCTGTAAATGATCTATATAAGAATGATCAAATACTAACCAAGCTAATAGTAAGTACCATCTTATGTAGTGGACGAGAACATAAGTGTAGACAATCAAATGTATTTGAATACAAAATTACAGAGCACCCTATTAAAATCTGAGAGCAATACAGTAAATACTTCATTTGCAAAATACCAATCCATCGTCTCAGACTTCATTGTACCTGAATTTTCATACCAATTACTTTCTGTTTCCGTTCTTTCCTTCTCGACTTTCTGCTGCCAGACATTCTAATCCTGACTATTGTTATATACTACTCATGTCGATATAAGTGGCACACACCATACTTATTCTTTGTGTTAAGTTTACAAATAAGGAGTCATTTTACCTACCTACGAATGACCAATGATCATATAGACTTCCTATTTCACAACTGAATCATTTCTCAATCTATGACTATCAAGAAATAATGGATTCCTTCATAATGCCTGAATAATCTTATAATCTAATATAATCACCACTTAATCTGTTTTATTGATGAAGTTGTAAAGAAATGTCAACACATGTAATAATAAATATAATGGAATTGAATTAATCGTGAAGAACAGGGTTCCAGTGATTTGTCTGTTGGAATGTTTTATATGAAACGTACTGATATAATCTATAAGACATGAAGATCTAATAATTAGTGTATTCGGAGACAGTAGTTGTATGGTTCACTATGCTTTCAATGAACTTTATTGTCTCAACACTGAAAGTGTTGTTGTTTTTGTTCTGAATTGTAGCATCATCATTTACTTCAGGTAGAAATGAGTCTCTTAAATTATTTTATGAGGATTGGATTTAATGAAAACAGAGACATATTAATGAGTGATTGTTTTGGCTGCGTTCACTTCATGAGAATTCACGCTGCATTTGTATATTGTATTTAGTATTGCATCTCTATAGATTCTCAGACCATTGGCAACGCAGAGTGTCAACATTTACTCAGTCGAATTCGTGTGTACAAAATCGATTCACATAATTCTACAACATACTATATTGTTTCGCTGTTATTTTGTGTAAGTCTAGTTGAATGAGGCTTCTGATTTGGTTGATGTTGAGCTACTCGAAATTGGTGCAATTTCAGGTGGACTTCTACCTGAAGTTTGTGCTGATGATGTCGTTCAGAAGAACGATGAAAGCTTCACGACCAAACCATCCAGCTCAGAGGACAAAACTCCATCAAAAAAATGGTGCAATTTATTTCATAGTTGATACATCACTTAGCTTCCTTCATAGTCACTTCTTCCATTATGGACAAAATTGAATGTAGGGAATGTGTCGGGTTGTGGACGAAGAAAATCATAGGCAAATATGATTATATTGTGAAGAGAAAGGCTGAATGTCAATTCACAAGCAATAACAATTCCCTTAAACTAATGAAAACCTCAACTGAAATGATAAGCTTTCGAACAATGGGAATTTTAAGAAATTCATCGGAGAAAAATTCAGTGTAAAAGAGCTACAACTGAGTATCTCTTATTGTACTTTATGGGACATCATATTTGAGCAAACAATCAACTCCCTTATAATTAGTTCCGTTTACGAATTTAAATGAAGCGAATTGTTGCATCACCCACACCTCATGTTTCTTGATTCTAACATCGAATGACCTCCGACCTGTTCTTGCACATATATAGTTATTGTTGATAAGGCTTGTCATTTCAATTCTTTTTATTCACTTACGTCAACTGTTTCTCATTAAATCTTACATCAATGTAAACTTTTAGTACATATATGGTTGTAAGCAGCTGATGAGAAACCACGAAATATAATGAATCCATATTATTTTGCATCCATGTTTGCTTTGGCTTTAACCAAACTCCCTTATAATCTATCGTTTCATTTTAAATGACTTTAACACAGAATTAGCTTCATTATTTAATCTACAAACTGAGCTACGTACTCAGTATATCTATTTTAT